TTTGCTCTTTCTGAACTTTGCTCCTATTTTGAGATTTCTCTTCTTTTTTTTCTTTTTTCTTTTTTTGTCTAAGATTTCTCTTCATGGCTTTAAGCAAAATGATCTAGCCCCCAATTAAGCATGTAACTATATTACCCGGTTTTATGATAGGTATGAAAGAAAAGGCTCTCATTGTTTTCTCTCTTTTTTAGGCTCAACTTGGCCAACGAAAGAATGACTCTTTTGGGTAAAGTGTTTGGGAATTAGGCTCATGAAAAATGGCCTTTGATCCTCAAGCTTTTCACTTTAGACCGCGAAAATGATGACAATCATTCAACTTAAGTTAGCAAGATTTCCTTATTCTCTCTTCCTTCTCTTTTTTCTCTCTCTTTTTTTTAAAAAAATCTTTTCTCACCATTTTCTTCTTGTATGAGTCTATCACATTTGATTGCAACTTTGGCCTCTATTTTGCAACACATCAATTAGTTCAAGGGAAGAATCTAGATCATCATCATCTTCCTCGACATGGATTTGAATCATTTGAAACAAATACCACTCCTGAAATGGCATCATTGTATTCAGATTCATCATTAGCAAAGCCTGAAAGCAAAAAGAAAATTTGGATAAGTAATAGCATATGTTGAAAGCATACATATGCAAGGAAGATTTGTTTTTTTTTTTTTTTGGTTATGTTTTTTTGTTCTTTTTTTTTTTTTGTTCTTTGGTTATGTTTTTTTCTCATTGGTGGATGATGGTTTAGACAAAAAAGAGTTGCATCAAGTTTAAAAGATGACAATATGGCAACATGTGTTACAGAATTGTAAAGACTGGAAAACTAATTAGCATGATAGCAAAAATTTCAAAAAATATAAAAGAGCTTGTTATTCTCTCCTTTCATGTATCTATAAGTTGAACTACTAGAAAGCTGACTCATCCCACTCATGGATGAATGAAGCAGAGAAAAGCTTAACTATCCAATTGGCCAAAGTACCCCCAAGGCAGAAGTAATGGTCATGTCAAATAGGGGTTCATCCTTAGGAGCAATAATACTCAAATTTCCCCATGTCCTAGATTTGTCCCCTCATTCATTGAATCTAGATCCACATGTCTCGTGTGTAAGTGCACTTCAACATCATATGTTGGTGGGCTTATAAGAGCATGTTGAGGCTGCCTTTTAGATGGATGATGCATTGCTCCAAAGAGAGAGAAAACATAAAGGGACTGGCATGCTTGATTTGTTTATTTTTTTTTTTTAAAGCAGTTTATGAAGCCTACCTACAAACAGAAAGTAAAAGAAAAATAAACAAAGTCAGAATAATGTTAGAAGTCATCCCATAATTTTGCATGATTTAACGCTTCAACAATTGCTATGTGGATTCACACATTGTCGATTTTTAATCCTTAAAGAGCCTCGGATGAAGCAAAATATCTTTCAATGCCTTGAGATTTCCATCAAACTCAAAGGACTATAGAAAAGACACTTACAAGCAATTCAACAAGCATTACAAAGATAGTCATTTGTTACAAAGTAAAAGCCTAGTACATCTTACTAAATACATGATAACATTTAAGTCCCTAGTAAAATCTAACTCCTAGATCATTCAAAGTACAATTGAGGAGTTGCATTCTTTTCCTTGACGAATCCCGTGATTGCTAGAGCAACATAAAGTGTGATGTGCTTGAGCTTTTGATCTTCAACGTTGCTCTTGGTTCTTATGCTTCTAAGTTTGCCCCCTAGACTTGGCAATTGTGAATGATAGGAGAGAAATGCTTGCAATTGGAGATCTCCTCAATCCTTTGTTGGTCAAAACTTTCTCCATGGATGAATACCTCAAAGGTGTCTTGACTGACGAAGAATCGCATTTGACCATGTATAAATCCATATTTCAATTGTTAAAGGCAAAGAATCAAACAAGATTATGGGAGTGCAAAAGAAGAAATAAACATGGATGCCAAATGAGAAATAATGGATGCAGGAACTTAAATATGCTCTAAAGTGATAATGTGTGTAAAGTTGTATCCTAAAACATGGAATTTTCTTCATTAAGTATGCCGAGCAAGTTTCAAAGGAGAAGTTGATGATTCACTATTGCAACCATTAAGTTAGCATTCATAGGAAATATTGTTCCTTTGAAAAAAAGCAAATGCCATGAAGCTAAAAGAAAAAGTGAATGACATGATGCTTGGAGAAAATGGATGATGTGATGCTCCAAAGTTATGCACTTAAATTATTTTAATGCCTAAAAGATGAATTTTTCATTAATTTATCTTTGAAGAACCTCTCCTTTTTTTTTTTTTTTTTACAAAAATGTGAAATGCTTTGAATTTAGCTGAATAAGGCCCACAAGTTTGAAACATGCAAGTATAAATTTCTTGTAGAAGATGTAAGGTGGTGAGAACTTTGAATGAGAATTTGGATTTTTTTTTTTTTTTAAGATCATGACTTGAAGGACTTGATTGAAGAACAAGAAAATATGAGAACTAAATTTAATTTATTCTAAACATGAGATGAGCATGAGATGAATGTCAATTTGACATGGGATGGAAAATGTGATGTAAGGTTGAATATGAGTTGCAATAAAAAATGGGATTGAATGAGAACTGAACATGGACAAGATTTTCATTCTTATGTACTTTTTTATAGAGTGTGGGACATATGAGAAATATGGGATAGAGACAGTAATGCTTGAAATGAAATATGAGATGGAAAATGCAATGTGAAATGCATGTGAATGAAATTTTCATTTTCATTTTTATGCACTTATTTTTTAACTAAGAAATGGAAATAGTGATGGTTGGAATGCAATATGTGATGGAAAATGGAATGTCAAATGAACATGGAAACAATTTTCGTTTTTATGCAATTTTTTTTTATGAAATGTGAGAAAGATGAGATGAAGAAACATGATAAGGAAACTAACAGCATGAAATGGAAATACATAAGATTTTCATTTTTGCATTTTTCATCATTTTTTTAAAAATTTTTTGTGCAACTTTTATGAAATAAGGAAAATATGAGATGGAGATAGTAATGCTTGGAATGAAAATTTGAGATAGAAAATGCAGTGTGAAATGCATGTGAATGAGATTTTTTTTTTATTTTGTGCAATTTTTATATGAGATGGAGAACATGGATGGAATTTCATTTTTTTGTAAATTTTTGTGAAATATGAGATGAAAAATGAAATGTAAAATGGATAGAATGGAGAATGTCACATGAGATGAATATGAAAACATGTTTTGTGATGCATTGGATGGAAAATGCAATGCAATGGACAAACGTGAAATTTTTTAAGACATATGGAAGATTTAATGTGAAATGAATGGGATGGATATATGAAACAATCATGAACTTCTCTTCTTCTTCTTCTTTTTTTTTTTTTAAATGATGTATTGGGTTGAAAATGAAGATACGAAGTGTATGGAATGCTCCTTACCTCAAGAATGATGTCTAAATGCAGAAGATGAATAACTAATCATATCTCAAATGTATATAGAAATGAAACCTATCATATGCAGAGACAAGGTTAGTGAAGTAAAATGCCCCTTTGTGTCTTAGACACGGGATCCCTAACCTCACGGGTGGGATGCTAAGGGAAACATGTCCTAAAGTTGGTATCTCTCTAAGGTCAATACATGTTTTCCTAAAGGGCATTAGGCCTTCTCAACCATTTATCCTTTCAGAATCAACGAGAGATATTTCCAAAAGCTAATACATAGGATGATATTACATCATCAAGTGTTGTATTAACCAATGGAAGCAACCTAACGAGAACCGATCTTACTCCTCAAAGCGGGAAGAATTGCTCTTCCAAGCTAGATTCATAAAGATTCCAGACTAGAGGTCGAGTTCACCTCTGACACGAACATAATGCAAAATGAGAGTGAGTGTGTGCAAGGGGCATGACACTCCGATAACCTGCACAATGGCAACCACAAAAATAGCAACATACATCCCACAACAAGTAGATAAAGCAAACAAGCAAATAAAACATGTAAAGCACTCAACAAATATATCACCCACAAACAAACCTACTTACACAACAGGAAGGGACTCACCTCGTACTCCCTTGCCAAATGCAAAAGGTTAGCACATTCACAAACAAGTAAGTAGGCATATAGACATGATGCATGATGAATAAGCATGTAACATCAATGATGGATGAGCGTGTGAGATGATATGATGCATGAACATGTAAGCATGGTATGTTGCATGTCAAGATGTAGCAAGGTAACTACTCAAAGACAAAAATGATCAAAGCAACCACTAAAACAATGAGCAAACAAGCAACAAGCAACATGCGACAAGCACATACAATAAATAACAAAGACCCACAAAAACTCAACAAACAAAGAAAAATCAAAAGTTGAAAATTCCTCAAAGTTAAAGTATTAGCTCGACCCTCGTGAACCTAGAATATGGAAACCAGAGATTCTGGGTTCGGTTCCTAGTGGAGTCGCCAATTTGTTGACGACCATACTTAAAATTTTTTTTAAAAAAAAACATTAAGTTAAGTGTGAAATATATAAGAAAAGGAGTTGTCACTGGTCCAAATTATAAGGTGGGATAAGTCACCTAAAATAGGTCTGCATAAAGATCGAGATTCGGGAGTTCGGTTAGAAGTGAGAAAGAGCATATGTGCATTTCACAATCTTTTGCTTAAACATGGTTGCATACTTTAAAACTGGGGTTTTAGTTCAACTTATTCATTATGTTTATATTTAGGTCTTAATAAACAAGCTTGAAAAAGAGATAAACCAAATTGCAACATTTTTAACCTTTTGGACTAAAATGGACAAAATCAAAGATATGCATGCACAATGAACACAAGTAAAAATTAAAAGGTCTAGTTTGATTAAATTCAAAATATGAAGGACTGATTTGACTAAATTCACAAACATGGAGGATTGATTTGAAAAGAGTTAGACCCTTGGAATAAATTGCTTAATTATAAAAGTTTTGAGTGAAATTGAAATAAAGAGAGATAATTTTGACTTTTGACTAAGATTGAGGAAAGTAAAGAATTGAAATTAACTAATTATGATAATTAATTTAATTGGATGATTAATTTAACATCAATTAAAATTAATTAATTATATTTATCAACCTCCTCTAATCAAGATAATTAAATAAATTTAATCACCACAAATTAAGGCCAATAAATATAATTAATTTACTTTAATTAAAATTAATTAATTTTGTTAATCACACATTTAAACTAATTATCCTAATCAATTAATCATTTTAGTTATTTTTTTTACTTTTTTTTTTAGTTTTGTTTTAGTTTAGGTAGTTTTTTTTTTTTTTAACACACTGAAGATAGACCAAAATAGATCAAAACTTAAACAAGTGAAATCTGGATGGAAACAAAAGGAAATTTATGGTTCCTATTCTACCATTCATCAACACAGACAAAAAGAAAACAAATAAACATTCATCCCAACTAAAATCCATGAAATTCAACTAAACAGGATTGATTGATTTTATTCATAATGTCATCATCTAATACAATTCTAGCACATGAAATCTAAAGAAATTGAGACAAACATAGTGAAAGTTTTCAGAAAGAACAGATCGAGATAGGAGGGAGGAATCCCACCCACGGGATCAAACTCCAACGGTCACCCTAACTGCTCTTCCTAAAACTTTCTCTAATAAGAAAATTTACCTAAGAGGAATCAACCCAAAAAATGTGCTTTCACTGAAAACTCAACGATCCTTCTTTCAACTGTCGCCCCAAAACAGAAATCCTTTTCCTTTTTTTTTTAGAACTCTGCAGAATATCCAGAAGGAAAAATAACCGAAATAAAAACCAGAAGGAAAGAAGAAAGGCCGACAGTAGAAGAAGACTCTAGTCCCCTTCAAAATGCTTATGCAGTCCTTCCTCTCAACCAATGTTGTTACCCCCTTCTTCCCCACGAAATCCCCTTCTACTGCTCTTCGAAAACTCAGAAGGAGACTCCCAAAACCAGAACCAAAATCAACAAAAGACCCCCCTTTTGATCTAATTTTTTTCTATATATATATCCAAATAACAAAATAAAATAAAATGAAAATAAAATAAAAACTTCCTCCAACAAGCACTGATGATGCTGATTTTGTTTGGTATGCGCTGTTTTTTTCTGTATGTGAGGCAAGAACAAGGCTGTAGCAAGCAGGAGTGCAGAGGCACAGGATTAGGGGTGCAGAGTGCAGAAGGCGCAGCAGGGCAGACGGGCGCAGCAGTACAGGGGCGCAGCAGTACAGGGGCACAGGCTTGGTGCAGCAGCAGGGGTATAGAGGGTTGCAGAAGAGGGGGGCGCAGGAGGTGTGCAGGGGGGTGTAGGAGTGTAGGAATTAAAGGCGTAGGTGTGCAGGGGGGCATAGGAGTGTATGATTGCTGGTGATGGCTGGCAATTGTGGCTGCCGGCTGGTTTGGGGAGGAAGCTGGTTTGAGAGAGAGACAAGTAAAGATAAAAGGAAAGAGATGAGAGAGAGAGGTAGAGAGAGAGAGAGGAGAGGCGACTTTCGAACACGGGAGAAGAGGACGACACAGAGCAGAGAGTGTAATACCCCAAAATTTCTAGAGCATTAAAGTGAGTTAGGGACCTAATTGTGAAGAAATACTATTAATGAACTTAATGACAAAATTTTTTAAAGTTCAGGGACGAAAAAGAAAAAAAATTAGGATAAGGATCAGCTGATATTTTCATTCCTTTTCTTCCCAGCCATACACGTTTCTGCT